ATCATGATAAGTTTTTCCTCCTTTAATCTCTGCATCGAGGTAAGAAAGCAGACGATTCACTCAACTCTTCTTTCAAGTTCACGATTCACGTTGTTGTATTTTCTGAATACAGTGTGTGCATCTATGAAAGACTGAAGATATCAGCTTGTATACTAGATTACTCTTCAACTTAACTCTACAACAAGCCACCTCCATTCTACAATACCTGATTAGCATCTCTTAAAGCTCTGTCCCAGCAAGCTTCCTTGCCACAATGTTCGTTCACTTTAACTGCAATAGACTCAACGGTCGCCTTACTGCCATGCGAAATAGCAATCTTTTCACAAATGCGCATGCTATTTTTTTTAGCGAAACAAGACTGGGAAAGAAAAAATCTCCCAGTCTAAACAAATTCATCTTCTATCGCAGAGACAGAGATACCTGCGCAGGCGGAGTCGCCATCCTTGTTCATCGAGATCTCCCTCAATGCGAAGTCTCCCTAGACCACCTTCTGCATGACTCCCGCACGGAAGCTACCGCTGTTAAAATCACCTTCAAAGAAAAACCCCTTCTCCTGATTGAAGTTTACAAGCCCCCTCAGCATGCGCTCTCTGAAAACTTCCTCTGGTTTCTCAGCACCATTTCCTCTATCCCCACTATAATTCAAGGTGATTTCAACGCCCACTCACCCTTATGGGGTTCCTCTAGCACAAACGCTAGTGGGGCTTCACTCGAAAAATTTCTTCTCCAGTCCCAATTCACCCTGATGAACTAATTTCGTCACACTTCGCACACCGCCTTGCATGGCATGCACACCCCATTCCTACGGCAGCGACCATGTTCTTATCTATCTTCACTTTCCCTCTTCCTCTCCTCCTCAGACTGTCAAGAGAAAGATTCTTGACCACTCTGAGGTTGTCTCTAAATTTGCTAAACTATCTCCCCACACCTCCTTCTATTCCCTATCTGACTGTGAGTATTTTGTCTCACACTTTCAGAACGTCACCAACGAGAGCTCCCATAAAATTACAGTACCTGTTTGGAAGAAGAACCTTACTTCCTTCAATAGACTTTGCGCAATCAGAACTGGATACAAAAGGATTGCGTATAATACTAAAGACCCTAAAGATCTTATATCTTATCGTAGGATAAATGCAAAAATCAATCGCCAAATCAAATATCTTGCAAAAAAAAAAAAAATGGAAACATGCAAGTTTCTCCTTCGATCCCAAAATCTATAAATATGGAAAATTATTAAATCTTTCTCCTCCTCGCCCATCCCAAATCCTGCTTGGCATACCATCCTTGCTCTAGAAAACCGAGACCTAAATTCTGTCTGCACCCTCTTCTCTTCAGAATTTAACCCCCCCTATAAATCCTATCCCATCCTTTCCTTTCCAACTCATTGAGGCCTATATCTTCCTTCATAAACCTCCTCTCAATCATGCCCTTGACTCTCCTTTTCTCCCTTGAGAACTGCGTACCGCAATTCGTACCCTCCGCCCAAACTCCTCAGAAGGGCCAGACGGAATTCCCAACAAAACACTGAAACTCTTTCCACACAAAAAACTCAGCTTACTTCTCTCCACCTTCAACTTCATGTGGACTAACTCGCAATTCCCCTCCTCCTGGAAACAATCTCTCATCATCTCCAATCCAATAAACCAAGGGAAAGACCTTCTCATCTCTTCCTATCGTTCCTATCTGTCTCCAGCTGTCTCTCGGAAAACTCTTTGAAAAAATTGTTAAAAATAGACTCTCTTGGGCTTTCGAAAACTTCAAAATTTATAATCCTCATCCTTTATAATCCACATTGGCCTTGCTGGATGAAGAGGCGGATCGACTTGCTAAACTTCCCACAGGTACTCCTATTTCTCTTCCACCTTCCGCCCTCCAAACAAAAAAAAATCTCTTACTTATCCTCTCTCTCAATACTGACTTCACCTCCTATCTACAAGATCTTTCTGCCAACCCTTGGCGCCCCCTCTCTTCAATCACTCTGTCCAATAAGCTACTTTCTCATCCCCCCAAAAAAGTTGACATCTGCCTGCGCCCGTCTAAGAACAAGGCGCCTATCCTCACCCGCGAATTACTATTTAAATTTAATAAAATTGACTCCCCCCCTTTGCCTATTCTGTAAGGTTCCTGACACTGACACCCTCGAACACCTCCTACTTTATTGCTCTATTCTCTCTACTTCCGTGCCCAGGAACACTCTTCAGACTCATCTTCTTGCACTTTCTGAATCCCCCTCTATCCTTGCTGCACTCTACTCCACTTCCTCTACCATTCTCAAACTCCTAGGAGACTTCGTTAAAGACTGCAATTTCATAAATATGCTTTAAATCACATCTTTGTCCCTTTTACCTCCAGCCCTCTGTCTCCCTCAACCACTACCTCTTCACCAGCATCTTCTTGAGCTCTCCATGCCTGATGGTTTTCCTCCTTCATTAACATCTGCCCACTATACCCAACTTTCATCTTCCCCTTCTCCCCCTACTTTGCATTTCTACAAGACCGAGAGTCCAAAGCACTTCCTTCTGTAAAAGATAAAAATAAACCATTCGACAAACGTTCTTCAACCGAGAAACTCTTCTCCTCGCTACCTCCGACACCCTACAACCAGCACCGGCAAACCTCTGAAACAAGTAAGTACCCAAATTTATGTCTCTCTTCCTATTCTAAATTATATCTTCCTTTAACCACATCAGCTCATCACCTGCTCTACCTTCATATTCTGAAATTGGTGATGCACATCTTCATCTCCGGTTCTTCTGCTCCTTCATTCTACTTCCATATTACCTCCATCTCTAAATCCTGCTCTCAAAATATTCCTCCTCAAGACGCACTTATCTCTACATTCTTCCACATATACCTGTCCTTACTCTTAGAAATCTCATCAATCACCTTACATTGGTAAGTATGCACGAATATATGGATGAATGCTACATTCTCTGAATTTTCCTGACCTTACCTTCCTTCGCTTTCCTTTTACTCTATAGATATTTCAAGCTTTCCCGGTCTCACTCACCTCTATTATAATAATTTACCTTTTATATTTCTCTCCTCTGTAATGCCTCGAAAGGGGCCCCTCTATCTCCCCCTTTCCCTACTAAACAAAATCCTCCTCCGTCCATTCCTTTCATATCCATTTGGATTTAGACTCTGTCGCCAAAGATTTCTGAAAATCCATGCACTTAACCATTCTAGACTGATATCTAGATTCCAGTGTACTGAAAGTCTGGCAAAGTTCTTTGGCATCGTCAAGCTCTCGGGAGCCGATCAGGACATCAAAATCGGGACGCCAAGCGACATAAGAAGAACCAAAACAAGGAAATTGGTTTGAGACACTCCTGCAAAACTGTAAGAACTTTCCTTTTTACTCCCTCCCTCAAAATAATTTTTTTTCAATAATTACCCTTTCATTTTATATTTATGAATAAAATTAGTCTAAATTTTTCTTCCCTTTTTATTATTTTTTCCCCCTTTTGCATTTCTATCAAACGTGTAATTCCTTAATCCTACTAAAGTAATGTGATAATATAATTTCTATGCGCAACTAGATATAACTATTCTATGTAGTTAAGTTCTCCTTACCATGAATAACATATGTTGTATTTACTTATTTATATACATAAAAAATATTTATTTATTTATTTACCTAAATTCTTATTTTCCCCCTCTACGTACAACATGATGGGTTCAACCGTGTGTTCTATTAATACAGTATATATGAAAAAAAAATAATGTACAAATTAAACTAATAAAATTTCACATGCTCTAGCACTGCGTAATGTACTTATGTTCTCACCTGTTTTTTTTTTTTTTTTCCTCCTCCTGTAAATTGTGTGATTTTTATTTTATTGTTTAATATTTAGTGCTTCTTTTGATATTAAAATTCACTGACTGTGGCCACAAGAATCTTAAAATCATATTATTTATGTAATTTTTTACCTCCACTCATCACATAGTTCTACCATCATCCTTTACACATACTCATGTACGCATTAGCTTACTAGGTATTTCTTCTCTTCCTTTTCCTCTAGAGGCCCATTTTTCTTTTTTTCTTTTTTATATATTTTTCTTTCTTTTCGATATCGCTATGGGCCATTTATTTTTTAATTTATTTTGTCCCAACTTTTCTTTCGGGCCTTTTGAACTCGTATAAAACAATATGAAGTTCCTTTTCACTATCCTCTAAATCTCGAAATTGCCCCCTTTCACCTTTCCTTCGCACCTATGCTTGATTTTTCGCCCATCGGTGCAGAAAGACTTAGCGGGTGCAAAACAAGACATATGTCTACTTTGGTTGTCTGTCTATTGTATTTTCTGAGCTTTGTTATTTCAGGAGATTATTTAGTGCTGTCTTTTTTTCATGTTGATATTTTGTGGATAAATTTAGAATAGTTTAAATTTCAGCCCTTTTTAATACAATTACAGATAAGAAACGCACTAATGATTTTACTGCTTGCAACGTTGATGGAGACAGGTGCATTAAATGTATCTAATACGCCTTGCTTATTTTGCACTTTTAATTTGAATCAATGAATATCAAGATTAGATTGGATTAGAGATTAGAAGCACTTCCGCAGAGAACCCGGTAAATGTAAACATCCCTAACTTTGGCGATAATAGTCCAAACCTGGTAACCCAGCGGATTTATCCTATTCGCTTGTTCGAAGTTTGCAACCATTCCTCTTGCATTTAATTTGTTGAATTATCACTGTCGTTGTTCACATTTGCAGATATATATTATTCTCCTCTCATTTATTATTATTTTTTCTGAATTTTTTAACAACGTATAGATAGAAATATTTTCGTAGATAGATGCCGGTTCTTGGTTCATGATGAAAGGAAGAAAATACGGCGGGAAGGGTGAATGCTAATTTGTAACACGGCTGTTCACGTTGTGTTCTTAATTCTTAACAGTTCTTCACAATAACCTTTCAGAGGATGGCAGGTGTTACATAAATAGATGATTAAATTGAAATAAAAATATTATTGATTATCTAAGATGACAGAATAGTTTGATGCATCACCATGGTCATCAAAATTAGCAAACCACTGCTGGTGTAAGGACTATATTGTTTTCTACGGCTGTTCACGTTGTGTTCTTAATTCTTAACAGTTCTTAACAGTAACCTTTCAGAGGATGGCAGGTGTTACATAAATAGATGATTAAATTGAAATAAAAATATTATTGATTATCTAAGATGACAGAATAGTTTGATGCATCACCATGGTCATCAAAATTAGCAAACCACTGCTGGTGTAAGGACTATATTGTTTTCTGTGTTAATTGGAATTTAAGACAAATTTATTTCATTTATCATGTTTAACCAGTTAATTTCAGTGCATTAATACTATTTATATTTTTTAAATGAATATTATTTCCGTTATAAATGCTTATATATTGCTTATACTTAATATATTCTTTTCTGTGCTAACTTGAATTTAATATAAATTTATTTTCGTATATCACGTTTAACCAGTTAGATTTACATCTACATGCTTATTATCTGTGAATTTTTACTACCTTATGCTTAATATATTGTTTTGTCTGCTAACTTGAATTTACATGCACTAAAAATCACGTATACAAAATATCACGTGTGCGGCTCGGCTCATCGTCGATGAACCGCGAGCTTGGCGAGTAAAAATGCAACGGCGCCAACGGGTTCTCTGCGGATGATTACAATACATATTTTTTTTCACGTTTTAAATATGCAGAAAATATATAAAATCCTAGCATTAGTCTAAATGCATATTTATCTAATATCCTATAAAGTATTTCGCTGTTCCATTTGGGCCATCTGTATTGATAATCTCTACTGATAAAGCATATTAAACTTTAAAAGAGCGTTTTTCAGCAGTCCTTTTAATCTGAACCCATTCAGATACCTCCCCCCCCCGAAGAGTCCCTTAATGCTGTTCATCTGTAGCGCCATGCCTTGTTATCGTTAGTTTATTCAGCTTTCATTTGCTTTTAGTATTAAACATCTTAAAGACTATTTTTTAAAAATTGTTTATGCATTTAAATTGTTAACTCTTTTTTAAGATGTTAGATTGTAATCTAAAATTTCCACTTTGAGAACTTTTCTTCATTTGCTTTTTTATGATACATGTGTATGTGAATTTATTTTTTTCTTTTTATTTCACCTTCATGGTTTTATTATCTTCTCCAGAGCTCACTTAATTTTTCATTATGCATTATTTCTTCATTTTTTTAAACCATTCCTAATGGCTAATAGCTCCGATACTTACAATTTTAGAATTTAAGTCCAGAACTAAATGTTAATGAATTTATGAATTCACTAAATGTTAAAATTTTGTTCAAGAAAGAATATCGTACTGATATTTGAAAATGAAAGTTTGTCTAGGATCGACTCGAAATTCTAAGAATGGATAAGCAATTGCTTCAGCTCTATTCCCAAGAAATATACAAAAGGAAAAAAAATTGTATACAGTCAAAAGTCGTTAATTCGGACACCCATAATCCGGAATGATCTATAATCCGGACCTCAAAGCTACAAACGCGCATGCGCGTAAGACCTTTACGGCTGCGAATATGCGTGTTTACGTGTGCAAAATACGTTTACGAATGTGCGTTTAATGTATAATGGATGGTATAAGCTAAGCTAAAATTATCAAATTGAGTTAATGTTGCAGATTGCGATGTTCCTTAATCTACGAATTGGATTCGGCTTATTATTTTTTGCAGACTGAGAGCAATTTTATAAAAGTAAGCTTGAACTTTCGATTATGTCAAATAGAATTTCTGATATACTAATATGTAAAGGATCTACAAAGCAAAAGTATGTTTCAAAGTCCATTAAACAAAAAGTGGAATTGCTGCAAAAAATGGATAAAGGCATATCCTTTGCTTATCTAAACTTTGTTTACCTTTAATGCCACAGTGCGCAATGAATTAGAAGTTGATCTGTCAGCACTAGCCTTATCTTCAGGGCAGATGTTTTTATTTTATTTGGCGTATAATTCCTTACTAAATGTAGTATTTCATCTCGATGTCCGTCTTTGATATGATTTAAATCAAATTCCTCGTCATTATAATTCGCTTCCGATAGCGAAGAAAGTGACAGAGGTTATTGAAAACAAAAAAATTTCGATTGACAAATTAGTCGGTATTCTCGACACAGCAATTATAGGACTTGAATGGCGGAACTTTGTAACTGAACAAGAAATTATGTCCATTTATAGAATTAAAGAGAATGTATTATCACATAAAAACGCAACAACTTACATTGAAAGAAATGTTTAATAAAGTAAACAAATAAATATTAAGCTTCTTTTTTTTTTTTTTTTTTTTTTTGTAAATTTTGATACCCTTTAGATCATAATTGTTCTTTATTTCATAAATTACGGTTTCATATTTTTAATTTTATAATTTCTGCATGCCATCTTCCCAGATTTAAACTGATGATCTATAATCCGGAATCGCTGAAGTCCCAACGAGTCCGGATTAACGACTTTTGACTGTATATATATATATATATATATATATATATGATGGTATTAAATAGAGTCTTCCTGTTTCTGTGGTCTTCAAAAATGTTCCTGTTTCTGCGAATTCATCAATCTTCATTACCACCTTTCCCAAAGGGGTTACATAGTGGGTTCTGACTGGGCCTCAGCCTCTCCTCAGATATAGGAAAGCAAAAAAAAATTTAGATTAAAAAAATAATTTTTAAAAGCAATAATCGAAAAATATTTACGATCTTTATATTATAACTTTGCATGAATGAAGCAATACTGTTGAAAATAGTATATTGTTAAAAATATATTTTATTACACACAAAATAATATTCATTATATTGCATAAAAATTTTACTCTTTTATAATAAATGGTTGAAAATGAAATGTATTAATTTCAATTTATAAAAAAAGCTTTAAATTATTTTATTTTCTTGTTGAAGAAATCAACACAAGCTGCAATAGTTGTTTGGTGTTAATCATAGATATTAAACGTCTGTTAATATGTTTAATGGATATTATGACTATGATTATTTAAAATTCCCTTTAACAATTTTTTAAACTTGGCTATGTTAGGATTCATTGTTGTTTTATGTTTATATCCTTAATGTTAAGTTTTCGTGTCTGTTTCCTAAATCATCGACATGAATATTATCCCTGTAGTAACACAGTTTTCTTCCCCTGTATGTAACCAACAAAATCTGATAACAGTACTGCCACTTGGTATTTCATAAAATTTACAGATGATTATCATTGAGATCATATAAAGCAGATTTATATATGATTATCAGTTAATTATATTATTATTTCAGAATTTATGATTTCTCTATTTCTTTGGGTCGGATCTTGAAATTAATATTTGGCCACAACCTAATGAATATTTTTCTTGAAATTTACACATATGCATACTTCTGGTGAAAATGTATCCATGGCTAATCTTTGGAATATGGTAACAGGTAGTTTGGCGACATTTTGGTAAGGCGATAAAGGTTACCAGGTAGGACTTTAGCAATAATCTGAGAAGTACACAGTTCGAATCACAGATTATTTTGTCTCAGAGAAATGAGAGATCATGAGACATGTCATGTGACATTTTCTGGAAAATTCCGATTGTGATTTTAGCTAATAAGCACTTAGAAACAATTTCGCTGCTAAAGTGCAGAATCGCCCACTTATTTGTTAGGCGCTTTTTACAAGAGTAAAAAGAAATGGATTTTTGTCAATTTTTGTGACTTTTTAAGAGAAAATAGGTCGATGTGTACATGGATAAAGTCAAGAGTGTGTGTAAAGCATAGTTTGTGCAATTCGAGGATTTTTTTTAAGTGAAAATAGGTCGATGTGTACATGGATAAAATCAAGGGATTTTATCCATGACACATCGACGACAATGCTATTTTTGTGCTATTCTCGGATGTTTTTTTAAGTGAAAATATGTCGACGTGTACATGGATACTGCGTATGTGCAATTCTTAAAAATGCGCGAAGCAGTGGCCGATTTTGCACTCTCTCCCAATTTCGCACCTTATCTTCGTCATGATTAAACACTTTTGTTCCATAAAAGTTCTAGCATAAGCATAATTTGGCTAGCAGATTGTTGGAAAACATTTTGAGTAAAAAAAAAAAAAACATGCCTTTACTTCGTGAAAACAAAATGGCGTCCCCCCCAAACAAACTAGCAGGGTTGGTCGCTAAATTTTCGCCAAAAAATCGATAAGTTACCATAATCCGAAGATTCACCGTATCCATTTCATTGTAGATATTTAAGTGGAAAATCCTGTGAATGGATGTGTTCTGTTTTTTCGAGTGCAAGTTACAACTAAGCATATAAATAACATAATGCCATTCAGTACAATTTGAGATACGTCATGAAATGCAGCCCGTTGCTAATACATTTATTTATCTTTTCTCGCAGTCAGAATAAACAGTTCCTGTTCTAAAAGTAGTATTGCTAATGCATTAAATCGCATAAATGGTGCACAGTTTAAAATTGTTTCAATTATTAAACATCGCATGTTTAAAATTATTATATATCATTAAAAAATTACGTATACATTAAACATTTGTTTACGTAAATGTTTATGTAACGTAAACATTTGTAAAAAAATTACAAAAATTTCTCGTAGCCCGATTTCTGTTTAAGACAAGAATGATATTTTAAATATAAAATTTTTCTTTTTTGTATCAAAAATCGCATTTAAGGGGCCAACAAGCCTCACTTTTATGAAATTAATTGAGAAGCATCAAATGTAAACATTGACTTAAAAATGCTTGAAAAACAGTTCATATAAAAAATATTTAATGTTATATTGAATTTAAAATAAGGAAAAAGTTTAGAAAGTTAAGCAAAATAGATAAAATTAAGATTTGAAAACAAAGTCCAGAATTAGCTGTGAAAGTGTATAAAAATTCTGTTAGTTTTTTTCTCTTTGTGTTAAGTTTCCATCAAGTTGCCCTGATTTTATCAGAAGTAAAAACAAGGTTATATTCAAATAATAAAATACATTAATGTTTTTTTATATAACATTGCTAATGTTATACCAAAAGCCGCATTTAGTATTATCTATGAATTATTTGTGAATCCACATTTAGTATTATTAATGAATGAAATACAGTCATTCATAATACTAAATGTGGATTGTTCAAACATAATTTATAACATTATTCAAACATAATTTTAAAGACTGGCAAATATACCCTGATAATACTTATCGAAAATTAAAATTTTTGTTCGAGTGACTTTAGTCAAAATTAGTTCGAGTGACTTTTATGATGTATTGTTTCCTCTCTGTAATTTTTTTTTTTTTTTTAATGTTCACCCCCAAATCTTTCTCTGTTTTCTAAGCAAAGACTATGTCAAGTAGGTGCAACAACAAATTTTTAGAGAACCAAAACGTATGATAAGCATGTCTTATTCTTGAATGGGTTCTTTGGTTCCAGTCAAGTTCTTTGATTGAGGTGTCAGATGAAGCTGTTCAAGAATGATGCAATACCGGAAACTTTTAACATTCTGAATATCAATGCTATGCTATCTATACAGAAAATATTAGCAAGTGACATTTTTACGCATATTAAAAGAGAATATTAACTAAAACAAGGATATGCACATTCAGAACTATAACTTTTTATTCAATAATGTAACATTGTTCTTAGTCATTAAGGCAAGACAGAACCTTTTCTGGTATTCTTCTTTTATCATCAAAGGATTCAGAAATGTATGTATGCAATGCATGTATAGATGTGTGGATGAATGTGTTAATGTATGTATGTATTGTAAACACACACACTTTTGAACCCGGTCCGGATAACAGAAAAGTACCCCTTTTCTTATTAATTCTTTTTAATTCACCCGATAACAGAAGAGTACAACTTTTCTAATTAATTTATTAAATTTCTTTTTAATTCAATTTATAACATATATACTCGTATATTCCTTTTTTTTTTTTTTTTTGCTGCAATGCTAAATTTACTTTTTTTTTTTTTTTTTTTGTGCTGCATGATTTAATGCACATTACGTGTTGCTAGAATGTTTGATGATATACTGTTAAATATATAATCTGAGTTTTATAAATGCATTCATTCTAAAAAAATTGTTTTTTTTTTATATATATAGGGGCTATATAAATGCCAAGAAGTTTGCAGTCATTATGTCGATACAACTCAAGAATTAAGGAACCATCAAACAGCTTTCCAGTTTGAAAGAAAAGAAAAAGTACTACTGTATATCAGTAAACACTTTTTCTTTTCTTTCAAACTGCAGTTTATGATATACAGTAGCACTATATATTAGTAATTCGGTATAATAATAACACTGTATATCAAGAATTTGATGCTTGGAAAGAAGAATTTGAAAAGGTTAATTATTTGAAACTTTATGGCAGTCGTAATTATAAGAATGGTAAATATACTTATTTTGTTTTGTTTTGTTTTCGCAGTGGAATGCACGAGTTTAGTAAAAGTAATAATAGAAATTTCACAAAGATTGTTAGAGCGCATGTTTATGCACACCAGAAATACTATCAATAATGAAAGAAAGATACAGGTCATGTGCTCGTTTACATTTTATGGACATAGTAAAATTGTAGGCCTTATCAGATTATCTGAAGGAGAAAAAAAAAAAAATTTCTCAAAAAATAAAATATTAGCATATACAACATTTTGCGTGACATGAGAAACGATATGATATCTTCAGATGTCATATTGACGTATCATTTGACTTCTAGACAAGACGTCGCAAACATAAAAGAAAACTTTGGACTAAAAACACAGCGGCATCTTGATGACGCTACTAGCGTTATGTTGATGCTTGAAGACATGAAATCTCTTGAGCCAGAACACTCTCCATTACTAAATGTTAAATTTCAAAGATCAGTAAAAACTGAATTCAGTGAATTTGAGGCAGAAAATTTTTTTCTTGCACTTCAACACCCCTTGCAGAAGGAAATGATGGTTAAATTTGGTCACAAATTAATATGCGTAGATTCTATTCATGGTACGAATGCGTACGATTTCAAACTTATCACTATATTGTTAATTGATGATTTTAATGAGGGATTCCCAGTTGCTTGGTGCATGTGCAACAGAGAAGATTTTACTTCTCTTCAAAAATTGTTTCAGCTAGTTAAAGCTAATTTAAATTGCAATATATCTTACGACTTTTTTATGTCGGATGATGCACCCTCTTACTACAAAGCATGGAATGATGTATTCGACTGCAATGCAAAGCAGCTGCTTTGTTTCTGGCACTTTCACAGAGCAATAAGGAGTAAAATTGAACATTTAATAAATGAGAAGATATGCTGCCGAGGTTTACAAAACTTTTAACTGTGGTGTTCCAAGAAAAGGATGAGAACACCTTCACAGAAATGTTTGAAAAAGTGAAACTTGATCTCATAGAACATCCTGAAACAAACGAATTTGCTTCATATTTTTTTTAATACATATGGAACCATTTAGAATCTTTCCACAAAAATTTAAAATAACGTTTCTAGGTGGAAAATCAAATCGAAGACTCGATAGCTTCATTCATCAGTTATTGGAATATGTCAAACATAAAGGGTGGCAAAGTATTATGAAACTAGAACGAGGAAAAATAACCTTGAAAAACAAGATTATTGCCGATAGCCATAAAAAGAGTAATGAGATGGATGTTAATATTGTCATTAAAGAAACTGAAAATTCATATATTGTTAAAGGAATAAAAATGAATTATAACATTGAAATTTTTAAATGAAGCATTCTCTGATGCATGTAGTGTCAAATGCTCGAAGTGCCGAATTTGTATTCACCAAGCAAAATGTTCTTGTACTGTTAGCATTGTACAAGGTAATATCTGCAAACACATTCATTTGATTTGTAGACTTTACCGGAATAATACACATTGTAGTGAGGAGTTGCAATGTGCAAGTGCAGATGTTTCGGTTGCGCAAAAGCTTTTAAAACTTCCTATAAATAATATAAACAAAACAACCACTATTGACAAATTATTACTTCAAATTCAGTCAAAGGTTTATTCTTTGAATCATATTCAAAATAGCTCAAAAATAATTGAAGTCAATAAAATGTTACATAATATAATAATTTTTTTTTTTTTTAGATATTCAAAATGAGGGCTTAAATTTACCTCCTCCTTCAGTTTCAAGCAACATCCAAACTCAACAGTCATTTTTTTCGACAATGAAAAAGTTTAGTTTTCTTTGGGAAACCCTCAGTTGAAGAAAAAGGAACACTTTGCTGAAAGAAATGGTAATAAAAACAGAAAGCGACCATGACGCTTATTGTAAGGGCTTGGTACCTGCAGAGCAAACTGTACCTTCTGTAACAAAACAAAGAAAAATTCCAGTTTCAAAAGTTTTTATTGTTAGCAACCATCAACAGAAATTATTAAATATGCTAATAAATAGAAAAGTTGTGAAGTCTCTATTTGAGGATAGATGCTAGAAATAGAACATACTTTAGCTTCAGAAGCTATTGATGATTCTATTATTGATTGCTCAATACCATATATTAGAAATTTATTCAGTGAATATGCGTGGAACAAAATTCAACTAATTATAAAAGAAATTTGGAAATGATTTTCATGTGAATTATGAACTGCACAGACTAATATGATACAGTGCGATAAATGCGAGAAATGGTTTCACTGGAGCTGTGCGAACATAACTTTCAATTTTGAAGAGACTCAAGAATGGTTTTGCGCAGCCTGTTATTTGATAAGTATGCATGTTGAATAGACAGCATTATTTAAATTGTATACTAATATTTTATGTATATTAAAATCTTTATCCTAAAGTGGGCTATAATGAACCTCTGGCTGAGGCGATTCCCCCATTTTAATGGATAATAAAGAAAGAAAGAATGAAATATATCATTATTTCGCTCTTGGGGACTCGCATGCCATGGCTGAAGATTTAATCGGTATTATAAATATAACAAATTTGCTAATACTTCACGAACATAATTGATGTTTTCTAAAATGAACATTTTTTAGGATACTTGAAAAGAATCTTTATTTAACACGTTGACTGCCACAGCAAGATCTGGTAAAATATTCTGTCGGACAATTTTTTTAATTCTAGTGGTTTCATGTCCCCTTTATCCTAAAAATCAGTTCAGTACCTAATCTGAATATATTTTTATGAATAATTAATAAATAGATAAACAAATAACAATAAATGCTATTTATATTTTAAACAATAAATAGATTACATTTTAGTTCATTGTAAATAAACACAAGAGTTTTATGTATCAATAGGAAAAATTGGTAATAGTGTATTACAATACAAATAATAAAACATAATACATAACCAAAAATAAATAACTTAGTGAATGTGGTATGACTAGTGGTATATCTTAAATTATACCACTAGTTTTGTATTCTTTCCATAAACAACACAATCTTATTTAATTATAACTTCATTGTTTTAGTTCATAAATAATAATTACTTATTGCAAAAAGATCCATATTAAAATCATATAACAATCTATGAAAAAATGCTTCCAGAAGCCAGAAACCAGGTATATGAACAATTTTCTGAAGCCGTAGAAATAATTTTAACTATAAAAATTGGTGCATCTGTGAAGCACCGATGACTTGCATAGCTTCAAACAATACAAAATTTGAGTCTCATTTAAGAGCATGGCTCCAAAAAGTAAGGCCGCTGTGAATGACGTGGACCTTGTAAGAGATAGACTAACCCATTGGGTGGGGCTTGCGTCACCCACATGTCCGCAAGAAAGAGGACGGACAATCTGGTTTAACATTGAAACCTATGGCTTTGTATCACATAATTGTTTTTAATTATTAAACATGATACGTAGTATAAGTGATGAGGTTATGAAAATCACAGTTTTTTCAAGTAAGATTTAAAATATCTCTTTAAAGCACTTTTTACTGCATTTTGCACATTCTGTTCATGTGTAATTCTTGCATAAACATCTTTACTTTGGTAAAACAGTAAAAACTCTAAACACAAAATTTATGAACTTACTTTTGAGTGCAAATAAAGTAAAATTAAATAAGAATGATAGTACATGAAGCTCTGAAACAAATAAAGCAAAATTAAACAAGATCTCATATATATATATTTTTTAATTTTACGAGAATTTTCAGGCAGCGGGTTTTAAAATTATTATAACATTACAAGATCATTTATTTGATCATATGATCATTAATTATTAACATAATAAGATGATTTTTGATTTAATAATTAATAAAATTCAGAGCATAAACTTTTCTCAATGTAATGAAAATAAATGAATAAAAACTGGAAGCACTCGGATTTTATGTTACGCTCAAAGGGACGTCTTTTAACGCTTTGTGTGTTACCTCTATTTATTGAATATTATGTTCTTCGCATGTAAACACACAAAATTCAATTTAACAGCAGTATGATAAAATATTTGAAAACAGCATATCTTTATAATTTCCGCGCTGGAGATAAAAATGTTATTTTCCGTACAGTGTTGCCATTGCTCGTTTTGAACTCGTTGAGTTTCTTAATAAAATTTGTTGAAGTTTAACAAAATTTGAAATGGATTTAAACAAATTAGAAATTTGGCTGTTCAGGTAGATCATTACGTTATTCAAAATTTTATGGCTGTAGATACCGTCATTTTTTCATATTACAAGAAACATACATGTATTCAGGCAAATTATTCATTATTAAATTTCTTTAAATACATAATACAAGGCGATAATATTTGGCGGCAACAATTTGCAAAGTGAAACGGATGTTAATAATGAAACAGCGCAAAATGCCATTTCGAAACTAATAGCCTTTCTGGGCTCCCGCCCTTTTGGGCTAATAAATTAAATTCACAGTAATTTAAAAAATCTTATGCGGAACTAGAATTAAATTTAAAAAAAATAATCACTATAAAATGTTAGCACAATCAATTATTACAGTTTACAATTTTGACATTAGAATTAAATGTATAAAAATTATTAAGGTGTTAAAAGTGTTTATCACTACGATGTATTGTGAAATATATTTGAAATAAAACTCCTTTATAAAAAATATGCTATAATATTCACCTATAATCTTAAAAAAGCAGCACAACTTATAATATTAAGCAAAAAAATTCATTTTTAGGTATTTTATTTTAGTATATTTTACTTATTTACCCAATAAAAATTTATAACAAGTGCAAGAGAAAATTGCTTTGTTTGAAATTTTCTATTAGTTTCTATTAGATTTAAAATATTATTTTCTAAAAGTAAGTAGTTACAAATTTCCTTACTGCATAGGAAAGGCTAAAAATAGCCAGCTGAAAGCATGCAACATAATCATTTGGAACGTTAATTATGCTTGATAAATATGCTAAATTTTTAAAAATCAATATCAGTTTCAAAAATAAAAATATTAAAAATTCTAATTTGTGAAATGAGGCGCTACAACCAACTTTTTCTTGCATATATTTAAATACTACTGCAAATCCCACTTTAACTCGTTTTTTTGCTTTTCATTTTATTTTACCTTTTGTAATTTTATTTATTGTAATTCTTCATTTGTTGTTTCTTCATGAAATAGGTTCAGGAAATCCAATTGGGTTAAGAAGAAATTCGGATAAGGTTGTTTTTCATCCTTATTTTAGAATTAAGGATGTATATGGATTAATAATAGTATTTATATTTTATATATTTATTTGTTTTGAATTACCTTATATATTTATGGATGTAGAAAATTTTATTCTTTCTAATCCAATAGTTACTCCAACTCATATTCAACCTGAATGATATTTTTTGTTTGCTTATACAATTTTACGTTCAATTCCAAGAAAAATTGGAGGGGTTATTGCTTTAGTTATATCTGTAATAATTTTATATTTATTACCTTTTGTTTATAAACATAATTTTCGTAGAACTGGATTTTATCCTTTTATAAAATTTATGTTTTGAATATTTTTTGTAAATTGAGTTTTATTAACATGAATTGGGGCTTGTGAGGTAGAATTGCCTTATAGAGAGTTAGGAATTATATTTAGATTTATTTATTTTTTTTTTTTTTTGTATGTAGTTTTTTGATTAAATTATAATTTTCAAGATATAGTAATGTGATTTTATTTTTATAGTGTTTTGAAAGCATTAGTTAAGATTAATTCTTTAAAATTATTTAAGAAATTAATTAATTTAAGTAGAAAAGGGGTTTGTATAGTTTAAATAAAATAAGAGCTTTGTAAGTTTTTGATCTAAAAAATAAATGAGTAAAATATTATGGGAAAAGGAATTAAAAGTAAGATTAATGGTAAAAAAATTTTTTCATCTTAGATTTATAAGTAAATCATATCGAAATCGTGGAAAAGTTCCTCGAGCTCATAATATTATAATTGTAATAATAATTAAAATGAATAAGGAAATTGAGTGAAGAGAGTAAAAAAAAAATTAATGTAGAAATTATTCTAAGAATAAGTATTCTAGTATATTCAGCTAGAAAAATTAAAGCAAATCATCCTCCTATATAATCTACATTAAATCCTGAAACTAATTCAGATTCTCCTTCAGCAAAATCAAAAGGTGAGCGGTTTACTTCTGCTAAGCAGCTTGTAATTCATATAAAGAATAAGATAAAGTTTCCTCAAAAGAATCATAAGTATGTTTGGTGTTCACTAATTTGAGGAAAGGAGTAAGATGATGAAATAATAGAGATAAAAAGAATAATAAGGAAAAATGAAACTTCATAGGAAATTATTTGTGCTACTCTACGGATAGATCCAAGATAAGAATATTTAGAATTTCTTGATCACCCAATTAGTAAAATTGAATATACTGAAAGTCTTGAAAGAATAAAGAAAGTTAAGATATTATGTTTATTATCAAATAAAGGAAAAAAATAAAATAAAATGGAATAATAGGAATAATAAATAATAATTATAGAAATTATTAATGCTATTGTTGGAGAGGAATATGAAAGTGAAATATTAGTTGTTTCAGGTCTAATTAAGTTTTTATTAAAAAGTTTAATTGCATCACTAAATGGTTGAAAAATTCCTATAAATCCTACTTTATTTGGACCTTTACGGATTTGGATATAGCCTAAAAATTTTCGTTCTAGGATAGTATAAAAAGCTACACTAATTAAAATTCTAAAAACAGAAATTAAAGAATTAATTGCAGAAATAAATTTAGGATAATTAGAATCTAAATCTAATGCAATTGTCTGCCAATAAGATTTAAAATATTTTCTGGTCCTTTCGTACTAAGAAAAAGTTAAAGAAGATAGAAACCAACCTGGCTTATACCGGTTTGAACTCAAATCATGTAATTGTTTAAAAGTCGAACAGACTTTCTATTTAAGTAGTTGCACCAAAAAGAATATTAATTCAACATCGAGGTCACAATCTTTTTATTAAATAAGAGCTTAAGTAAAATATTGTGCTGTTATCCCTATGGTAACTTGATCAAAGGTCAAATTAATTGGGTCAATTTATTTAAATAAATAAAATTAAAATAATAATTAATTAGCTGCCCCAGCTAAACTAAAGTAAAGTTCAATAGGGTCTTATCGTCTTTCTTAGTAATAAATATCTTTTTATATTTAAGATAAATTTAATTAAATAAATTAAAGAAAGAAATTAAGGTGTTAAATCTTTCATGCAAGCCTAAAATTAAAAGGCAAATGATTATGCTACCTTAGCACAGGAAAACTGCGGCTATTAAAAATTCATTGAGCAGATCTTACTTATAATTATATTCTATAAGAAATGTTTTTGATAAACATTCACTTAATTTAGTTGAGTTTTTTAAATTTATGTAATATTAAAATAGAAGGTATTAATTTATAAAATTAGATAAGTTAATTTACTAATTTTTTTATTATAAAGATCTTAGAAAATAGTATGATTTAAATATTTAGTAGGAGGAA